ACGCACAACATTGAAGCATAAAGAGATCAAGCTCTAAACCTTGTTCAAACCTGCATGATGGAACCAATAAAAGTAATCGGCATAAACACAAGAAAAGAAAAGCAAGCAAAACAATACTGCTAGTTCTTCAATGAATGCAAGCATATCAAGGATCAAAATGAAAAAATTCCATACCACCGCACAGAGCGGTACCATTCAAATGAAAGAATAGCACCATCACCATTCTTACGCCACATTCCAGCATGTACTTGGGCGCAAAACACCCTAATCCGAAGAGGATGCTCCATAGCCAATGACGAGAATCCATGTGGATGGCAGCCTCCCAAAACATAGCCAAAAAAATCATGATGTGTGGGGAATGATGCAGCAGCACTTTCACCATAACAATTTTCTAGTGCCCTTTGTATAATCATAGAAAGTAGTCGGTGCAATGGAATGTGAACAGATATATCTTGCACACTAACAGCATATGTAATATCTCGCCAATCAGACAAACTTAGCACATGGAGGGCTTCTAACTCAGGGGCATAATCTTGATCACGTTTACTGTCATTAGAACCATCAGTGGCAACGTCGTGTTCCAAAATTTGACCGTCCAGGTTACCACAGTAACTATGAGAATGATGTTTACTTGCAATTTTATTGTTATCACCTAAAGGGGAATCGTATAATTTAAGAACGTGCTTTGCATTTCTAAACTTGGAATGTGTTCTCTTCAATACAAAGTAACTATTGCCAGAACTAAGACTAGTATTTTGAGATAGGAGGTAGAGGAGTTTCCCTGATGCATCATCTACTCCTAACCAGATTTCTATAGCCCTTAAACACTCAAAAGCTAACCCTGAAACAGATGGTGGAAATGGATAATTATCAACTTTTATTTCAGTGGCGCTAGATGCATGATCAAATGAGCTACGACTTGTCATACTACTAACAGAAGCTTCTTGTGATAACCTTCCAACTTTGGCATGCCTCTGGCTATCATGCTCTTCAATATCTGGTTCGCATGAGCTAAGCAAATTATCCTCTTCCGTCTCATTACATGTGGAGAATGCACCACCCACTAAAAGAGAAAGAATGTTTCCAATGAAACGACCCAAAACAAATGGTAAATGCATACTATCATTTTCCACTTCCACATGAATTCCAGTTTCTCTCTTTTGAGGGTTCATTCCTTGCACAAAAGACAGCAGTTTCATCCACACTCTTAGTATATCTTGCCTGTCATGAGTCACATATCTGGTCACAACAGAATGACTCATGACAAATCGGACATCTTCAACAACACGAAGAGTAGTCTCATACAAATGTTCCCATCTCTCAACCTACAAATAATGGATAAGGTCAGACTTTCATCTCCTTAAACACTTACATCTGTTCAAATATACAATAAAGCGAGTGAAAGATTGATTAATAAGATGACCTATATATAAAACACAAGTACGATAGGTCGTTGAATCGTTGATGGAACCATAAAATATGAATGGTATCTTCTATGAATCAGTGCAACTTTTAAGTAGCAGTGTATGGTAATTGGAACTTTTCCCACCTAGCTAAAGCTAAAACTCTACAACACGGTATGATAGAAACTCTGGTGTGATAAAAAGCAGCTTGTTGGGTCCAGTGCAAGTTAATAATCATTGGAGTATGATTATGAATCCTTTTTTGAAAAAAAAAAATGTATGCATCTATTGCTAGTCATTACGATTTAATCTTAAACAAAGGTGACTAAAATAAGTTCCATCACGTTTTATAAAACTATGGAAAGTTATGCACTTGCTACCACTCCGTTAATAAACATTAACTGTTTACTTCCTAGAAAATTAATGCTATCCCCAGGTCGTGCAATCACTGTAACAAATTTATTAGGAAAATTTAGTGCCTGAACCTCAGTTCTTATACATTATACATAATCAAATGATAATTCTCATTCCTTATGCCTAACATAGGGCAACAAACATGTCATCCTATAGAGAATGAAACATCTAAAGTCAGAGGACTACCTGGAAGTAACAAAATATATGCAGTCCTAAACAAGACAATATCAGTCCTCCTAAAGCACATTTAGCATTCAACAACTATGACAGGGGCTTTTATACAATGGAATTATGGTACATCAGGTGCATGTACACACACATGAAACAGAAACAACAATGTGATATTAGAACTTTACTAAATAAACAGAAACTATGGAAACAGATCTTCCTCAGGTTGATACTTAAATCTCATTGCAATACCTGTAATTGACCACGTTCTCCAGAACAAGAAACAAATATGTCTTCTAGACATCCCAAGAGCATAACCAAAAGATTCATTTCCTTCACAAGACGTGGGGTTAGAGTAGGCACTGTAAATATCTGCACAGAGAATGTACATAGCAGCGGATACTTTTTTAAAACTGTATCAGTACAATCTTTTATGGCTTCCTTGACTACAGTTGGATAATAGCTAAGAAATTTTTTTGCAAACTCATATTTAAACCGGGGTTCACCCAACAGTTTCAGTAATAACTCATGAAGCTTGCGGACAGTATCATCATCACTAATTAACCTCTCTGCTCTCACTAGAACTTCTAATAAACCTCCTGAAGAAAACACCTTCTCAGAGATAAAACCAAGTAAACTCTCACTCGAGTTGCAGAATTCCAAGAGCATCTCCACCACAACAGATGTCAGCCCCTCTGCAGGCTTTTTAAGCTCTGTCAGCACCTCTCCAAAAAGCAGTCTTTTCCTCCAACAAGACAGTAAAGAATCCAGGACAGGTCCCAAGGAGTTGGCATAAGCAACTGGAAGTTGTTGTATCTGCTCTGCACCTCTATGCTTCGAGCAGAAACCCTCACGTTTCCAAGCAGTGACATCCCCACAATCACAGCAACCACCACCGGTATATATAATAGAATAGTCATGGTCCTTGTGGTTACCATTCAGGAAACATGGTACACAAATTGCACATGTAGGATCATTTTCACATGTCCGGCAACGATAAGCAATATCATTGTTTCCCCAAACAGACCCACAAACGCCGCGTTGACCAACATTCATACGTGCTAAGTGCTCTAATGCGGTGCATGGTTTGCCCTCAAACATCAGCCATTGTAACCAGACAATGCTTTCATGGAATAAATCTTCAAAACCTGAGCCACTGCTTGCTTTTGGAGATTGTACTGCAGTTTCTTGATCGGCCTTAACTGCTTCATTGTCACTGGGCAAGATAGCTGACACAATCTCAGGAATTTGAGACTTATTGTTTTTTACATAATCAACTAGTCCAGGCTGAAGCCGTTTCAAATTCTCCTTAGGGACTCCAAGTATCTCCAGCCTCTGATAACATGTCAGGAGAGTTCATAAGTCATCCAAATACTCTCTCTCTCTCTCTCTCTCTCTCTCTCTCTCTCTCTCTCTCTCTCTCTTCCAATATATCCAAATCTAGGAACCAGAGCTGTAACTAACTAGAGACTAAAATGGGTTGAAGAGAAGTATTCTTTCTTAGTGCCTAGTTAGTATTTGATTATTGTTAATTGAGTAAGTCTAATAGTGAAATGGAATTAGTTCAGCAAAAACGTGTATTGCTTTTAATCTTCACAATTGCAAAAATCTGATTAGAGAAATAGAAAATATTTGGTTGAAAAGTATTACACGTTTTATTGTTTCACTAAATTAGTTACACCTTTCTTACTATACGGATTGATTTCAACCGCCAAAAGTAAGAAGAAAACTCCATTCTTTTGTTTTCATTTAGTGGCAGGTTCTGGCCTACTAGGAATCATTCTACAATCGCAAGCGATGTATTCCCCAAACCAATCATCCACATAGAAGTATTGATCGTATCAAAGATTTTAGTAGAAGCCGTACCTCAAGGATACATAATCGACTGAGAATATTGTCACCGGGGATCAGCGACACTGGAGAATCGATATCCATTATCATTAGCTAATCCAAATGGCGAAATTATAGAAGCGTCCGATTCCTGAGATTTCACTCCCCGGCGTTGAGCCACACTGACACTACCTGTATTTCGGCATCCTTGCGCATACTTATATCAAAATGTCAACGCGGAGTACTCGTACTATATGACTCCGTATACGTGTATCAGTGTATGCATATGGCCAGGAATTGGAAGAAAAACGTTGTTAGAATCCCTAACAACAGCAGTACGGCGACTCTAGAGTCTAGACCATCCGATCCATTGAATTCAAGACGAATGGTCTTTTAAGGAATGACAGACACAAATCATTGGTAATGTGATTTTGCATGATAAAAAAAAGAGAAAATACATAAATGATCCTTAATTTTTTTTTTTCGAATTAATGTTAATTAATTAATTATTTACAAAAATAATGCTGAAAAAAAAGTTATTACCGATCTACTGCTAGCCTTAACCATGGTCAGGGGTAAGTCGCCCAACGGTTGGGCGACTTATAAGTCGCCAAACGGTTTGGTGACTTATATGTCGCCCAACCGTTGGGCGACTTACCTTTTGTATATGAGCGAAGGCCAGCAGCTACTGCCAACCAGGCACGATCGTGCCTGCAAGGGTAGGCACGATCGTGCCTAAGTCCGAAAACAGCATTTTAGCAGGTTTTTCGCCCCGGTTCAACCCGGACTCATCTGTTTGCTATAAATAAGGTCTCTCTTCTCCTGTTTAAGTGTCACGAGCCAGACACAACACATTATAAAACATACAACACACGTCTTCACAATCACATACATAACACCTACTCTCAACGACATAAAAAACACCTTGTAAATACCCATTACAAATCAAATACAAAACATTACATTCATAACCGGTATAACACAGTACAATCATCCAATATTCATAACAAGTAATCATCTAATATTTATACTCGAACACATCAAGACAACATACAAGACTTTACAAGAGAAAATACGTAAAATGTTGTAAATTGTTCCTACAACATCTACTGTATAAGAAAAACTGCAATACAAAAGACAAACTACAAGTTCCCATCGTCAGCTTCGTCATGGAGATGTTGTTGCTCATGTCTACGCTTACGCCGTTGTCGTGGTTGAAGAACCATTCTCTCATGCTGCGTCTGGGATGATGAAGCCGTCGCTGCACTAGACGTGGATGGCATCTCCTGAGATGGGGGCATGTGTATAAGATAACCGTAGTCGACTCGCCCCAACACATCTGGACACAAGGAGGCAATGCCTGTCAGAGCCTGTCCATACATGTCCACATCATGACTATCAGTCACTGTGGCAGTAGCCCGCTGATGTATGCGCTGCAAAGCTCGTGTCTGAAATATGAAACACAATTACAATTACATAGAAATACATACAAATATTACATAAATAAAATGACTTACTTTACTACTTACTAATATACTCACCGTAAGATGCAAAGCCAAGGAGCTAGGCTGATAATGATGAGTAGGGAGTCTGAACGAAGGAGACAAAAACAAACGAGTGATGTTGTAATACCATCCCATGTAGTCTCCTGAAACAGATGGGACAAATGTCGGTGTCCCAGCTACAACTAGCTCAGCTCGCCTTTCCCACGTAGTGACGTATCGCAACACTCTATCAGGCAAATGAAGCTCAACAATGTCAAAACATATCAACGGCACACGTGCTCGCCATATGTGAGTATGCTCTCGTCCAGCTGGGGGCAACTCTACTAACATCTCAGGTGTAAACGGCATCCATGTAATCTGTTTCATAAAGATACAAAATTAGGAGATTTTCTATACATATTATAGTTAATGTTATATTACCCACACCATACCTGGTCCTCAGACATCCGATCAAATGCATCCCTGTACACACCGAGTCCAGTAGCGGATGACATGCGAGATAGACCAGCATATAGCCATCTAACCATTCATGTAACAGTATCATTAATATGGATATTATTAATATATTTACATTCAACATACAATCACATAAATACCAACGATTGAAAACATACCGACGGCCTAGAGGGTCCTCGCCCCGTACATGATGTGGTCCTAGAAGACGTGGAGGCTCATCAGGCAGTGGGTGTCCATCAATGCCATGATATGCGACTATAATGGGACGCCCAATGTGGATATACTCCCATGACCAAATCTGGAGGAGTAGCAAAAATCCCCCAAGCTCTGTGCTCCCTCTCTGGCAGCCGCGACAAAGCTGTCTGTACAGATAAGCCAGCGTGGAGATCATACATTCTAGTAAACCTTTTCTCACCTGATCCACTCATCCACGCATCAGTAAAGCCTTCAGGGAGATCATACATTCTAGTAAAGTGGCTAGACGGGGCAGTTGCCGTGATAGTATCACCATCATCTTCATCAGATTCTGTCATGTCATCACCATTGATGTTCTCGTCAGCATCATCATCACTTCCCTGCCCATCCACAAATGATGCACCGTTGTGCAAATACCTACCATCTTCCTGTATAACCATGTCCAGTACAAGAGCCTTTGAGGAGTTCCCTGCATTCATCCCTGCATTGACATCATGCGTAGATACAACAACATTTGATGTTGATTGAGTACCATAAACGTCACAGGATTCCTCAATGTATATCTCAAGCGTCGACATATCCTCCATCTGAGTTATGCCCCACATATTTGTTATAGCTAGCTCATCAATGAGGGGCATAAGCATTTACTTTCCCCCGTTCATGGGAAATTTCATTTTCAAACGCAAAGAATGGCTAAGATGAATCATTGTGGCTGCATGTATTTTTTGAAGGATCTCGAGCATGCAAGCGCCACGAGAAACCATGACAAAGCAGGTTCTACCACCTTCATGGCATATTTGCCCAGCATCCTCATAATAGTTCCCTCCCCAATGACACACGATTGGGAAGCTTGAGAAATCCATATTCTAATAACAATTCATTGTCCAACATTCATGAGTAGGCATCAATATACACACTTTATACACATTCAAATTTTCAATAGAAAAAGCTACCAAAATTGTAATATATCCAAAAGTCAAAATTCACAAACAATTCACATTTAAATATGAAACTACCCAAATTTTTATATCTACATTCAAGTCTACATTTCAATACCCAAATTTACCTACATTCAAGTCCACCCAAATGCCCAAATGTAAAAATGCACATTAAAATTTACAATCAATTTAAAATCAAATTTCAACATTTCATACATATCCACATTTCACAACAACTGAATTCACAATCAATTAATAATCTAAAATTTCGAAAATTTTAACATTCAAAACCCTAAATTCAAAATGAGATGAAATGGAGTTTAATTTACCTAGAAGAAGGAAGAAAGAGTGTTGAAGAAGAAGATAAAGGTTTGCCGGAGTGGGGTCGCCGGAGATGGAGGTTCGCCGGAGTTGGAAATGGTCTCGGTCGTCTTCGTCGCTCGTCTGTCGTCGCTGCGCCTTGGGGGAATTTGGGGATGGAAGTTCACGAAGTGTTCTGTTTGGGGCGAGACCCGTTTTTACTTAAGGGAAAGTCGCCCAATGGTTGGGCGACTTATAAGTCGCCAAACCGTTTGGCGACTTATAAGTCGCCCAACCGTTGGGCGGCTTACCCCGACCATGGTTAACCCAACAGTATTTTGGTAAATACTTTTAACCCAACCCTATTTTCGTAATTAATTAATTAATTAACATTAATACGGAAAAAATCTCCCTTAAACTATCATCATCATATCGTTTTGGTCCTTCAACTAATAAATCTATCACCTTAGTCCCTATTCTATTTAATGCATCTTAATTTGGTCCTTCGGTTAGTTTTGGCCGTTTCCATTCATACACTATTTTATAAATTATTATAAGACCCATGACGTGCACTTTGTCGTGAGTGCACTCAAAATAAATTCAACACTAACACTTATACGTAGTATAGGTGGAGTAGAGTTCGTATCCACAGGGAAAGGAATAACTTTCTTTTTATATAAATAGTAAGTAAAGGGGGGTTTTGATTGTTGAGTGATTTAATTAAATTTAAACACGAAGATGAACGATTTATATGAGATTTAATTCAAAGGTAAAATTGACTTGGTATTGCTACTTTCCACTTGTTGATATATTTTAGTCGATCATTGTTATATCTATAACTTATCTCCTCTCGAATACTCAATCGAGGAGTATATCCAATTCATCGAGGATAGTTATTAACAACGACCGTTCATTAATAACCCTTACTATTAGTCAAGTATAGAACAACGCCATATACCGACTTGATAGTAGCATTTAATCTTTTAACTCCTTGATGAAATCAATTGAGATTGATAACCTTAACACAACGTTTTCGGTTTAACCAACAAAATTAATCCCTCTTAAGTCTATTAACCACGACCGTGCATTAATAAACCGAAGTTACTTACTTGTGAAACTATCAACGATTAACCATCGGTTCGTTGATCATTTCTAGTAGTAATTAATATATGAAACAAAACTAGTTGATCCTTTAAGTAATGTTCAAAATATTAATATGAAATATGCATAGGAATTAATTAATACTCAAGGAAGAATATTAAAGGGAATGAATCCTACTATAGTTAAATATCAAGATGTTAACTAATTGTCATCTTAGTAACACTCCCCGATATTAACATAGAGGAAGGAATAGCTATTACTAAAACCAATGTCAAGATGTTAACTAATTGTCATCTTAGTAACACTCCCCAACATTGATATAGAAATAGTATTTAAAGGAAGAATTAATATTCAAGGAAAAGAAGTTAAGAAAATAACTCACAACTTTAATAATCAACAAGCTTCAAGAGCAATACCAAGAAATGGAAGTTTAGCTCCTCATTTGGAGACTAAACATGCTAAAAGAAATATAGAGAAATGCTATTCTAAACTGAGCTTAAGAGTATGGAAGAATTGGTGTCCTTTGTTGTGGAGGAAATGGGGTGTATTTATAGGCTTTTTAGGCCTGCAGGGTCGTGTACCCGATCGGGTTTTCAGCTCAACCGATCGGGTAAGGGTTAGTTTCCTCGAAACTGAAAATCTGGGGTCATACCCGATCGGGTATGTCGGCTACCCGATCGGGTATGGATACGCGATCGAGTTAAAAATCTTCCTGCATGTTGCCTTGTTCCCGGGTTGATTCGATTTGACTTTTCAGCAACTTACCCGATCGAGTATAGGGTATACTCGACCGGGTACACTACCAAAAATCAGAATCTTCATCTTTTCTTGAAACCTTTGCACCTTCCTTCCATTTGTGATGTTTACCAATGGTCCCTAGAGTGGTCTTGGACCTGTTTGAGCTCAGAACCAACCTAATCTAAACAATTTACAAACATTTTACAAACTAAACTATTACACCAAAAGTGTGTAATTTCTAGAGTAACAATCACTCAAAACTAATCAAAAACACAATTATAAACACGGAAATAACATGAATGTCAACCCATCTTTAACTAAATAATTTCCTTTTTGCCAAAAAAAAAACTGAATAATTCCCTTGTTGATAAATATTAACCTTAATCAAACATATTTTTAAATATTAATATGTTGCCCTTACTTAACAACCAATTGCTCAAATATATATATTACGTAGTATTAAATACTACTCCATATGTATTAAAACGTTTTTGTTAAGAATACTCAGTTGGGTAATAATTTTAAATTTTAATAATAATAATTATAATAACTTTTATGTTATTAATATTATTAATAATAATAGTAATAATAATATAACTAATAATAACTGAAATCCTTAATTTTTATCAAATTTGATTCTGGTTTTTGCGACTCTGTAATGCTTTTAATTTAGTTTCTGAATATGTAATTTTTTTTCTAAAAATAATATGAGTGCGGACAAGGGTCTGTTTGATTTATCGTCGATCAAACATCGTAAATCATAAAGTGCCTTACAATTCGATACGGAGGGAGTAGTACATAATTTTTTTGTTAAATGACTCTAGTAGTAGTAAGAAGTGGGTTTGTATCATTTTCATTAAAAACAAAGTGATTTGTATAAGCTCTCACTTTCTATTTAATGATCATACAAACCAACTTCTTACTACTACTAGAGTCATTTAACAAAAAAAATGTACTACTCCCTCCGTATCAAATTGTAAGGCACTTTATGATTTACGATGTTTGATCGACGATAAATCAAACAGACCCTTGTCTGCACTCAAATTATTTTTAGAAAAAAAAAAGAATTACATATTCAGAAACTAAATTAAAAGCATTACAGAGTCGCATAAAAAAAGAATCAAATTTAATAAAAATTAAGGATTGTAGTTATTATTAGTTATATTATTATTATTATTAACATAACAATTATAATAATTATTATTATTAAAATTATTACCCTGAGTATTCTTAACAAAAACATTTTAATACATATGGAGTAGTATTTAATACTACGTAATATATTTGAGTAATTGGTTGTTGAGTAAGGGAAGCATATTAATATTTAAAAATATGTTTGATTATGGTTAATATTTATCAACAAGGGAATTATTCTGTTTTTTTTTTTGGCAAAAAAGGAAATTATTTAGTTAAAGATGGGTCTTATAACAATTTATAAAATATTGCATGTTTGACCACGTGAATGTAAACGGCCAAAACTAACAGAAGGACCAAATTAAGATGCATTAAATAGAATAGGGACTAAAGTGATATATTTATTAGTTGAAGGACCAAAACGATATGGTGATGATAGTTTGAGGACCATTTATGCATTTTACTCTAAAAAAACGAAAATGCTAAGTGTACATATAGTGTACACATATTGTACACACTATATAAAGGGTTTTAGTTTTTACCATTCCAATTGTAATTTTTTTACCCTTTTCTTCTCCCACTTTCTCTCGTTCCCCTCTCTCTTCTCTGTGTCATTTCTCGTTTCTCCTCTCGTTCTTCTTTCTCGTTTTCCTTTC